CACAACGTTTATGTAGCTCCAGGGGAAGAAGTAAAGTGGAATACTATAGAACAGGGGTAGGCAAACTTGGTGAAACTACAAATTCCATCATGCATGTGCTGCTGGGAGTCATGTTTGTAGGTATCCAGAGTCTTGCAATGCCTCTTGGATTTGTAGTTGCAATAAAGCTTCAGGGCTAAAGTTTGCCTACCCATGCTATAGAAATGTCACTTGAGTGGCAGCTGGAACTGCTGACATCCCATCCAAGATGTGGAAGCAGTCTTGTGGCTTTTGGATGTCTACACATGGGAGGCTTTTACACGTAAAGAACATCCATAAAGTACATTAAATGGACACACATTCTTATGGGAAGGTTTTTGTTGGCATGAATGGCTTGGTGACAGGGTCACTTTAAGTGCATCCACAATGACCTCCTATCTCTTGTTATCCCAATTATTTCCATTGTTCCTCGTCTTATCTCTGACAGGTTCGAGTGACTTTGGTAGCTTCCAACGCTTTCACTGCGCAACTGAAGGAAGGAACCCAGGACGCCTGTGTGTGCTCCAAAAACCGAGCCTCCTATTCCTGGGAGGTTCAAGCAAATGTTCTTGGTATGTGTTGTAACTGTCTGTAAGCTTTAGATACATTGTAAAGACCTCTTTCAGTCCTATGGTTGTGTCCCTGTTTTTGAAGTAATTTTGAGCTGAAACTCAACTAGTCATGCTAATCAGCCTCCAAAAATAGTAAAGTCAATGATAGTAAAGTCAAGGACCGTGCGGTCCCTTCCTCAGGCAAACAAAGAGTTTGTTTGCCTGAGGAAGGGGCAGCACGGTCCCGAAACGTTGCTTAGGAGATGTGCATCATCATAGTCAATAAACATCATTTGACTTTACTATTTTTGGAGTGCGAGTGACTACTTTCATCTATCTACACTTTGCGGAGGCATCTGATGTCACCACCGCACCCTTCCAGCCATATTTGGGCTTTTTTCCGGTCATGAGTGCGCTGGGACATGAGGATTATGCTGATCAACCTGACTTGGAGATGGATTAAGGTAGAATTGTACCTAGGCGAGGTAGTGCTCCCCCCACTACCAATCCCTTTTGAATGAAATGGATCGGGTTACAATTGACATGGAAAATGTACCCGATTTTACATTCTGTACCTGCATTGTCATGACCATAATGTCAACAGCCTCCATTGTGAAGGGACAGGCTGTTGCACAGTGTTTACCAATTGTGGTAGCCTCCTGGCTCACTGCAGAAGCTTGAAGGTTATAGCTGGGCCCTATGAACACATCTACTGGACTCTAGACCCCTGCCCAATTTGCCTACTGGATGATTCCGCTTTTGGCTGGCAACAGAAGACATGTTCATGAGTGCACAGCATAGTACAGTGTACATGTTATAGGCAGGGGCAGATATGTTCTAAAGATAAAAGTTTGAGTTGAATGGACATCCATTTAGGGCCAACAACCTATCATACTGTATATATATACATTTGTACTTATCCCAGGGGGCAAATGCCCCCTTACTTTCCAGTCTAGTGCTCCCTTCTGGAAATGTGCTGTTGAACTTGCGCGCTCTCTGGGTTTGTGTTGCCAATCCAACCTTGGTATCTGAACCCCCCCAACTGACCACTAGATCTGCTTTATCTACAGGAGAAATGAGCTTCTCAGTGACGGCACAAACCACTTTTATTGGGCAGTCATGTGATGGATCTAATGATGCTTCCCAGCCTCCTCGCAAGGACACCGTTGTGCAATCCATTTTAGTAGAGGTAAGGCTGGTACTAATGGGGAAATTGCATATGCTTTTCCCAAGCATGTTTTAACCTTTTAATTTAATCTTAACAGCCTGAAGGAATCAGCCAAGAACTGACTTTAAGCAATCTCGTCTTTGTGAAACGTAAGTGAAAACAATTCTTTCTTCTTTTTTGGTTTTTGGTGACTCCATGTGTTTACTGTGTGTGGAGGTTTTTGATCTCCTTGGCTGTGCCTCAAAGTGGTCAACGCCAGTATCAGAAGTCAGAAACCATAGCTGACCAGGGTAATTTCACCCCCTGTTGCCTTAGGGCGAGCAAACCTACCAGTGCTTGGTTGCCCCCAGGGATTAATATACAATGCTACAGTTTCTGGCCAGGTGGAACAATGGACTGAGCGAAGATAAAGAACAAGAGTACCAGTGGTCCTCAGGAGTATCAACCGTGGACCAATACACAGCAGGCGAGTATCCTTTAGCCCAAATTCCAGAGACTGGTGATGGTCAGGGCAGATGAGCATAATCTAGAGACCGTATGGGGTAAAGGCATACAGCAAAAATAAGAGTGGTCCATTGACCAGGTAAGGAGTCTATAACAGGAGAATCCAAATGCAAGGCAAGGGTACAGGAGCCATGTTTCAGGGATGACTGCCTAGCAATGAGACAGCTTGTTAAGAGCAGTCCAGCAGCCAGCCATTGGAAGTGAAGGGGTGTTGCTGCCAGAGATGAGCCTGTTGCTCATCCGCTGTTTTCCTTCAGGTCTGACAGGAGAGAGCAGCTGGGCAGCGGTCTGAGGCATAGGAGCATGCCTCATGTTCCTAACCTGTCATAGTGATTTTGTTTTGTTTGTCGAACTCAGTTTTTCTTAAATATGACTCTTAACAATATTTCCCTCCATTAGTTCATCTGTCTTTACTGAGACATGAAGTCCCCTCTTGGCAACTGTATTCCCCAATTTTTTTTCTGTACTGCATTGAATCCATTGGGGTGGAACTTTGTAGTGGCTATGGCAGCTTGAAACAAAAATGTTGCCTCAAATAATACAACAGTATGTGATCCAATCTACATAAACTGCAGCAAACTGAATGTGGTTTTAGGTGGGGTAGTGCTCTACACTCCAGAGGTTTTTACATTTTTATTTTTTCTTTCCTTGACTTTTGCTTTCCTCTATCTTTAGCCGGCGCGAAGTCAACATTGCCAGTCCGTATAACCCTTCCAAAAAACGTGGTGCCAGATTCTATCTCTGCGTATATAGCTGCTGTTGGTAAGTGGATCTTATTAGTAGCTGTGTGATTTTTATATTCCTCTTTTTTGGCATGTTGCCTTCACCATGTTAAAAAAAAAAAACACTGCTTGTAAAGATTTCAAAGGGCTGGTTGTTCCTGAGTGGCTACTACTTGGTGGAAGCTGACTGGTTGACTTGACCACCAAGTCTACTGGTAAAATCTTACCAGTCCATTCCTCTCCTACATGGCCTATGTCATTTGTCGAACCAATCACATGGTCTGTGTTATTTGGAGAACCAGTCATATATAGTCTCTCGTTTTATGGAAATTGACTCTAAGCCATTGGTAGGACCAGTCATGCGGTCCATGTCAATTCTAAAACCGGTCACACAGTCTGTCATTCATAGAACTGGTAACATGCAGTTTGGAGAACTGTACTTGTACAGCTGTACTTGGTAGGACGGTGCTCCAATTAAAACATTTGAACAATGGCATCCTTAATGAATTGCAGCTCTGACTTATAACGTGGATTCTACTACTGCATTTATAGTGATGGGAGATCAGTTGGAACCCCAGACCTTGGTCCAGCCTTTATTAAACCTTACTTACCGGTTCCCACAACTTCTACCCTTGCATCTGAGTCTTTACTGCAATGCACTTGGCCACAGAGTTCTGGATGGGACATCCTCTTACACTTGCCTCTGATCCTTATAATCGGATATCTTTCCAGGTGATGTGTTTGGACTCCCATTGGCAAACCTTGAGGATTTGGTCCAGAAGCCGTATGGATGTGCAGAACAAAACCTGGCGCGAGTAGCTCCTATTGTACATGTGCTTGACTATCTCAACAACACAGGCCAGCTATCGCCTGAAATTCTGGAGAAGGGAAAGCGGTACTTATTGGAGGGTAAATATAAATCTGACACCTTTTTTATGTGCACCAAATTCTTTTTTTTTCTCTTTCAAAAAGATTTTAGTAGGTTTTTTTAACATTGTCAAGGTAAGTTATTACATCGGTACAATAATAAAACCAAATTCTTAAATGTTCTACGTGATGACCTTCCTCTTCCACTGGTCATGATTCTTAACTTTTACGATGTCTTCCCTGTCCAAATTATTATTATTATTTTTTTAAAGCTATTACTAGTTCAGGGGTGTGGAATTCCTATCGCCCGACGCCCGGAACAGGCAGTTTCGGACGCCGGGCGAGTAGTTTTTCTCTACATTTAGCCTGGCTGCGGGCAAGCAGCACGGCTAAGTGTAGTGTGGAAGCCGTCTTGTGTGACGTGTTCTGACTTGACTTCTCTCATCCCTCTAGGATATTATCGTCACCTTGGATATGCCAGCGGAGACGCTTATAGAGTGTTTCACAGCTCCGTAGAACCCAATTCATGGTAATGACAATTTTTATGTGTTACACCTGAAACCTTCAACGGATTTAGAAATGTAAAACCAAACTGAACTCTAAGACTTTGCAAACTTGCTGTTTTCATACCAGAATTGTATTTAAAAGCAACCACAGCCTGTCCCCTGCCAGCATGCTCTGTGAGGAAGCAGTGGCCTCTCTGCAGAACTGTTAACATGCCCCCTGCTAAATCAGGGCTAGAGCTGTCCATTTTATTTGGGAACACGAACTTTGCTGATTGGGAAGTTCCAGCTCTGACTCATCAGGGTGGTGTATTGGAGCGCTGTAGACAGACCACTGCTCCAAACAGAGCAAGCCTCCTTCTCTGCAACATACCAGCAGGGGACAGGCTTTTCTACTTGGGCTGTGGCTGCTTCCTAAGAACCTGCACACCTTTTTGTGTTCTGATGCACCTGGAATGTCTTTAGCGGATTTAAAATAGAAAGTTCACTTGGGCTCTAAACCTGAAACTTAGGTTGACCTAAAATACTATTTAATCCTACAAGTGTGACCACCTTTTGATGCAATATCCAGAAAAGCAAAAAAAAAAAACCTCACCGCTCCAATTTTCACTAGACTGCAGATCAATAGACATCGGGTGCCGGCTGCAGTATGCTCCCACTCATCAAGCAATGTCTCTCCAATCAGCCACACGAAACCGAGGTCCATAAAAATCCAACTTTGCATGGAATTTACAACACTAAAGTTCAAAATACAAGATATACACCACCATAGTATCTCTCCCACTCGCAACGCCTCTCATGCGTTTCACTACCTGGGCTTAATCATAGAGGTGGACCTTTTTGATACAATTACACAGCTGTAGTGAAGCTTGTCCTGTCCACTCCCTGCCAGTCTTATACTTGCCTGTCACCAGTTTAGTGAGATATTGCCCAAAAACCTGCAGAGCCACTGGTTAAAAAAATGTTATCTGTTGGTTTTATATTTGTTCCTAATGCGGTAACCTTGTGCTTCTTGCAGGCTGACCGTATACAGCATGAAGACCTTTGAACAAGCCAAGAGATACATTGAAATTGATGAAACCAGACAGCAGCAAACCCTCATCTGGCTGGAGAACCAGCAGAGGCTTGACAATGGCTGCTTTGAACCCCAAGGAACCTTGTTCACATTCCAGGTCAGAAAAGCCTCCTGCTCTTCAACCAATAAGATGCTTGTTTAAAAAGAGAGCAATATACAAAAGAACCATGACCAATGGCAACACATTTTTAGGATTTGCTCTTTACTGGCTGAATCTGTAATCTGTGCTTTTTGTAAAAGTGAGATGTCTTGGAAGGTATAGGAGGTGCATTTACAGTGTATGGATGGGGTACTGTACTTTACATATAACTGTGAAATATCAGTTCAGCATTGAGTTATGGTAACGTGCATTTTACTGCGCCTTTAAGCAGAAGTAAAGTATCTTGGCTGCTTAATCGGCCGGGCCTCAACCTAATTCCCACACATGGACACAGGAGTTGATTTCATCTTGGCATTCTGAGCCATGATGAATCCATTGATCGGGTAGAAAGTGATAGATCCCTCTGCACTCCTTAGAGCGTTCCCGGCCCAAAATTGCAATGGTGGTACTCGCAGTGATAATAACGGATGGCGCCGTGCACATCAACAGTAGAAAGCAGGAATCACCAGCACTCAGTAAATATAGTTCAAGTAATGAATGTCCATTTATTTGGACCAGTCGCAAAACTAAATACCATGGTATTTAGTTTTGTGACGACTGGTCCAAATAAATGGACATTCATTACTTGAACTATATTTACTGAGTGCTGGTGATTCCTGCTTTCTTCCATTAATAGGGTGACACACCTACATGAAAAGGCTAATCTGAGACTGATGCTGGTTATTGATTCCACAACAGATAACCTTAATTTTTGCATTCCATGGATAAGCTAGACTCAAGTAGATTCCACTGAAGATCCAATAGGTAATAAAAGGTAAAACCTTAAAGGAGAACTATGGGGTCAGTGTTTTTCCCCATAGTTCTCCTTAGGGTAACGGGAGGACACAAACTAGCGTCCTCCCGTTACCCTAAGCTCAGTATACCGCGAGCTACAGCTCGCGGTATACTGAGACGCCGCACCTGGAGCGGATCCCGACGTAGATGACGGGATCCGCCCAGCTGCGTGAGTGACAGCTGGCTCTGCCTATCTAGAGGCAGAGCCAGCTGTACCCGCCCCCAGTCAGCGCTGGCGGATCGGAGCGGGGAGGGGGGAATCCAGCCCTCCCCCTGTCACGGCAGAGAGCCGTGACAGGATCGAGAGGTGAGGGAACCCGGTATGTGTTCCCTCACCTCCCGATCTACTGAGCTGACCTGTGACAGTCTCATTGTCACAGGTCGGCTTAGAACTATGAGGTGAGTGGAAATCACTCATCTCATAGTTCTCCTTTAAACTTCAATGCGTTTTCAGAGAAAACATTGCAAACCTCTTCAGTAGTAATAACATGAGACCAGCAAACCTTTCTACGTGAATCAAATAGAACTCTTCCCACCATTACTTGGGGTTAATCATCATGTGCATATATCATATACAATATTGTAGATATTTAGGTGTAGTAACCACTACTTCACCAGGAAGGGTGTAATCAAATGCACAGAGATTCCATTCAAAGCATAAACACGGCAACAAGATTGTACAAATCATTAAAGGAGAATTATGAGGTGAGTGATTTTCACTCAGCCTCATAATCTAAGCCGACCTGTGACAATGAGACTGTCGCTGGTCGGCTTAGTAGATCGGGAAGTGAGCGAACACATACCGGCGCTCGCTCACTTCTCGATCTATCCGTGCAGTGAGCCGTGACTGTCATTCACGGCTCCCTGCAGGGATTCCCCCCCTCCCCTGTCCGATCCTCCAGCGCTGACTGGCGGAACGGACAAGGTAGGGGGCGGGTACAGCTGGCTCTGCCTCTAAATAGGAAGAGCCAGCTGTCACTCACGCAGCTGCGTGGATCCAGACAGAATTGTGGGGATGCGCTCCGGCTGCGGCGCCTCAGTATGCCGTGAGCTGTAGTTCGCGGTATACTGAGCTTTGGGTGACGGGAGAATGCTAGTTTGTGTCCTCCCGTTACCCTTAGGAGAACTATGGGGAAAAGCCCCCTGACCCCATAGTTCTCCTTTAAAACAAGCTAAAATAACTTTCACCAGAAATACAAGATTAAATGTAATCTACAGATGTATGCAGTATATGCCGCTCACAAAGTCTGATGCAGCGTAATTGACAATTAATGACTCTACTATTCCTATGTAATGGACATAGTAATGTATATAAAGAGACAGGCGAAGCTGCACATATGTGAACAACAAGGTTCAATGCAGATTGCAACGTGTAATCCCACACATACCAAAGAAACGTCTAACATAAACGTGTGTATGCACACTATATTGCCAAAAGTATTGAGACACCCCTCCAAATCATTGGTTTCAGGTGTTCAGTGAAATTTCCTTGCTACTAAATATTCCGCGGTCACCTGTTAGTGGTATTATAACAAAGTGGAAGCAATTGGGAACAACAGCAACTCAGCCACGAAGTGGTAGGCCACGTAAAATGACAGAGCGGGGTCAGCGCATGCTTAAGGCATCAGCATTCCAAGACATTTTGGACAATTTCATGCTCCCAACTTTGTGGGAGGAGTTTGGGGATGGCCCCTTCCTGTTCCAACATGACTGCGCACCAGTGCACAAAGCAAGGTCCATAAAGACATGGATGGGGGAGTTTGGGGGGAGGAACGTGACTGGCCTGCACAGAGTCCTGACCTCAACCCCATAGAACACCTTTGGGATGAATTAGAGCGGAGACTGCGAGCCCGGCCTTCTCGTCCAACATCAGTCCCTGACCTCACAAATGGTCCAACATTCCCATAGACACACTCCTAAACCTTGTGGACGCCTTCACAGAAGAGTTGAAGCTGTTATAGCTGCAAAGGGCGGAGCCAACCCAATACTGAACCCTACGGACTAAGACTGGGATGCCAGATATTGTGCGTGTGATGCTTCCCATTAGGAAACTAGTGAGAAATATTTTAGGGAACAAATAACTTTTACAAATGTAATGCATGTTCCATAGAAACTAGTGACACTTCTCCTGTATGTAAAACAAAGAAGTGTATATAAAAGAATTACGACAAATATGTATAAAACAATGTATTGTGATGTATACCTAATGGAAGAGAGGTGTGTGTGTGTGTGTGTACGTACATGACATGAATAACTACAGGGGTGTGTGTGGTTGT